TGTTCTTCCAGCTGTATCAGAAGAAAAAAAAGCCTATAAAATATACATGTAAGATCCTCCAGGCCCTCTGTGGTAACATGCTGTAGACTATAATAACCGACTTCTTCAGCTGACACCACCTAAAATTGCTCTGGGGACTGCAAAAAAGTGGCATCATTTTGTACCTTATCATTAATATGAATAGCTCCAGTAACACATCCCCAGATTCCCACCTCCAGCTGTGACTGATTGAACCTGTACTAGGTTGCTGACAAAAATCTCCTTCTTCAGCCTTTTAAGGCATTAGCACCTGTATTATTTGTATTTTGAAACAAAAGATAATGAGAAGATCCAGGCAATAATTCTCTTACCGAGGTTGGTGCCACACACCACGGCCGCCGCAATGAGAGATCCAGCAGATGACCCGTAGACCTTGCATGCTGACCTGAGCAGCTCTGGAGCCAACTCCAGGAGGGACTGCACCACTCCTACCTGATACAGGACGAGAAAGCCACTGCCCGAAAAAGAGAGCGAGAACGGAGTGCCTGAAGCCCTGATATCCTCTTCAGCCATCTCTAGCCACTGAACCTGCAGAGATCAGATTTCTGTATCTGACTTAATATCTCGATCTGTCCTTCTTCACTAGGCAAACTTCAAGTTCTCATCTCCCCTGCTTTCTCCAGTATCATCTCTATCTGGTTACACAGGAGTACAGAAGATGGATTTTCTGCCTCCTTTAATGACAGATCCCTGAGCTGTTTAGATTCACAAGCTATATTAATTACCTCCTGTGTTAAAAACAGTACTTTTTCCCAGTCGAAACAGTACTTGTAATCCTCGACTGCAGCCAGTTCTTTGTTCAGGGCTGAACCAAGGCTTCCTTTTATAATATAAGCAACCCTAAGACCTCCTGGAGCTCTCCAGGAGATGGTCCTTGCATTACTTTGCCATCACACTAGGGAACATCCTTGCAAATTTTCCTCTTTGCTTTGTGCTTTCTTCATCGAGGGTGTTTTTCTAAATAGGATTCTCCTTCAATCCCAGCTTAAGATCAGCTCAGCACTGAGTGAGGAAAGGCTTGTATAAGACACTTAAAGCCAGATGGTGTTACACAAGGAGTGTATACAGGGCGTTGCAGAGAGCACTCTGCGTGGCTGTGTTAGGTTTGGCAATGTTTCTTATATTTGCTCGCTACTGGAAGGCTTTATATCTTTGCCAGTTTCTTAGCTCTTTCCTGGAATAAACCTCCAAGGACTTGGATTTGCTTCCTGTTCTACCCAGCACTATGTTTCCTAAAGCTCCAGGATTCCTGCAGTAGCACAGTATTCCCCAAGCCCTGGATTGAACCAAAGGCAAACTGCCTTCAGGCTATCTTCATTGTCTGGATGAAAATTAAAAATAGTGAAAAATTCAGTACAAATTCAGATTTGTACTATATTTCAGCCTTAATACTTAATGCTGCTGCCAACATACAGAACGAAAACTGCTATTTTAAATATATATATTCATTAAATAATGTAGTGAATATTCTGGCTCCTATAATGTCCATATACATACAGTGTATACACTGTATAATGAATATTATATATGTTACATTCGAGATTATGTATCTATTACATATATATAATATGGGCATGTAGATAATAACGGGTATTTTTAATCCAGGAGCTTTCATCCTCTGTGTTGGTGTGGCAGTCTGTCCACAACAGTACAGAAAAACAAGGGGCTGTCTCAGCATCCTGATGAAACCTGTGCAACACTATTTTGCCCCAGATTTTCATAAGGACACGAGGGCTTTTCCTGATCTCTCCAGCCATTCCTGGGCACCAGCTGCTGGGCTTTTGCTAATCCTACAACAAGAGACTCTATCTGGTGCGGCTTCTGGGAGCAGAGGCCCCATCCTCATTGTGCAAAATGTTTCTTGATTGAAGTTTCATTCATACTTTCCCAGGCAGCCTTTCAGCATTACCAGGTGAATATTACATGCAAACACTCCCAAATAAATATAACTTCACCTAGCCAAAACAGTTCCTGTCAAAGACAGAATAAGAAGCAGCATGATGTGAGCTCATAAATTTGTTAAAATGTGATCTGGACTATCACAGAGATGACCAAATGCTGGAATTAGGACATGTGCATGTAACCATTTCCTGTTGTTGAAATACAGCATTCCTGGATTTGTTCTTCTGTTTTAATTCTTGCTTTTCCAGTGCTTGATTTTCTTTTTTAATTACTCCCTTGTCAGAGGAGTTTCCCACACGCACACCCTGTTCTATCCGTCTGACCAGGTGATTCACAGACTTTGTCACTGTGCAGTGATATCTGAGCTGATCTGATTCATGTCAGTGTCTCCTCCAGCAACTTCATTCATTTAGAGGACTTTATTCCATCACTGCGAAACATCTGCCAGTAAAATAAGGGGCAAAAAAATACTATCTCACTGTGACCGATCTGAACATGCAAGTACATCAAAAGAATATAAGCCTTTGAACGCTGAAAGAAAATGTTTCCATGTTGTCAGTTAATTAATTCTGCCACAGTTATGTGCATGAGGCCCCCAGGGAATTAAACAGGAACTGCAAATGCTGTCAGAGCTGTGTCAGGAGATATTCTCCTCCTGGGCCCTCATACAGGCATCATATTATAATAGTTTCTTCCCTTGCAGCTGCCAAGAAGCAACGTATTAAATGGGATTTTTCCATTCAGAGAGCCAGAAGAAGAACCTTGCAATGCCCATAAAAAAATAATTATCCCTGTACAAGATATGTGAGTAATTCAGAGGGGAGATGGATGAGGAATGCTAGAGGACCTACCTGGGCTCTGTAGCAGGGAGAAAGCCTGGCAGACTGAGCCCGGCTGCTGCATCGGAGCCAGCGCCAGCGCCAGGATAAGAGGCAGGGGACGATGAGGCTGGGCTGCACCAGGACAATCGTCCATCCGCAAGGACAGATGGGAGATGGCCAACCTGGCAGGGTGAAGGAGAGCCCAGAAAGGCAGCAGCTGAGACTGAACCGGTGCTGCCCTGCGAGGACTTCACGGCATGCCCGGATGCCCCGCGCTCTAGTTCAGATCCTCAGAGAATCCAGGCTTTGAGGACAGACCTTGAGCAGCAGCTGAGAGGGTGTTCAGCCACATAACAGTGTTTTCCGTAAGTTGCCCTCACCACTCTCCCCCTGTAGCCTGTCGGGCCAGGTGTGGCCTTATTGCTGCAGCTTCCTTCCCTGTTTGGGTTACTACAGGGTTTCTCACAGCAGGCCCTGCAAAATCTGTCCGGAATCCTCACCTGCTGTAAAAGTCGAGACTTGGGGACAGGATCCCACAGGCCAGCTGTGTTGTGATCCCCTCCCTGGCCTGGTGCCATACTACCTGTAAGACAAAACCTTGTCATCATCCTCTTAGTGACTGAGAACTTTGAATTGATTGATTCGTTAAGTGCCTGGGTGATTTTCTAAGATGCCCTCCTCCACCTGGCACTGCAAAAGGCAGGATTAGCAGGGAATAATGACTCCAGAGATGCAGGATCCCAGCAGCACCCTGAGGTGCTCTCAGAAGAAAATTCCTTGCTCACATTAAGCACCGAGCCAGCCTGCAGTGCTGGCAGGTGGCTGTAGAGAGGGAAGTTTTCTTTCCTGCCTGTGCAGGATAACAACACAGATGGCCAGCTCTCGTGATGCCAGGGATTTTAAGGAGAGCAATTGCCTTAGAGGTCTGAAACCATGGCAGGGAGTTTAGGGAAGGATGAACATAATACCAAGAGCTGGAAACTGATCAAAACTCCAGGGCTGATAACTTGCCCTTCTTTAATACCAGGGGATCTTTAGTGGCAATGGGCAGTCAGGGTCTCAATTTTATAACCAAGAGATTAGGCCAAGATGTCAAAGTCACTAATGAGCTAAGACGTGAACTGTGAGAGCCATCAGCACTAGGAGCCGGTGGGAAGCTCTGTGTGCTAGTGGTAGGCATCACTGCTCCAGCCCTCTTCCTGCAGCAGCCAGACCCCAAGGACACAACAGTGTCATTATTTTTGGTTTGGTAGTTTGAAAACACAAGCCTGTTGTGCAAGGAGCTGTAAACACACGTCTTCATGTTTAGCCAGCCTCACACCCCTGATGAGTGGGAAGGAAAAGGGCCCAGCAACCACAAAAGGATTTGGGTCAGCTGGGTTGCTATGAACGCTACAGGAGAAGGGAATGGAAGAGATGAATGGTTTTCTCACAGTTATTTTGTCTGGCAGGGGTGTCCCATGCACAGAGGGAAGAAGGTGTCCTAAGGGAGGTCAATGAGGAAACAAAACCCTCTTCTGCTCAATGCAAATCCAGTCACACACCCAAAACTGTGTGATCCTCCCACCAGGTCCCCACCTTATGCCTGCTATCATCTCACCCTGCCCTGGTCATCAACTCTGTAAAGTTACCTGGGCTGTTGGTGCTGGGCAGGGGCAAGGTAATGTCATGAAGGTCTGCACACAGTCAAGACCAGTTTCAGTTTCTCCTGCAAAAAAAAGTCTGATAAGCCTGGTTCACAGCCATAAGGAAATACTGTGCTTGCACTGCACTTGCCACTGGCATCACTCGAGCAGGCTGGAGGAGTGGGATTAGATGTTTTTTCACACTCCTAATCATGCAAGACTAGATTGGACTGATCCTCTACAAAGTACCATCCCCTGGGGCTTTTCATCAGGTGATGATTCCAATCTCTGCTGATCTCTCATATGTTTCCTTAAAGGGTTTATAAAGAAGGGAAATTTTCATCTGTGTGGGGAAGGACAGTCTCCTTTTTACAAGGACTCTATTTCTCCATTTATTTTGTATTTGTGCATTTGCGAGAACTGAAAAGATCAATTCCTTTGGGAGAAAGGAGGGAGAGAGCAGTGTAGGATATGACCCAGAGATTCATGTGCCATGGTCACAAGTGAGGACAGGGGACACATAAAGCTTCCCTGAGGAGGCTTGGACATGTGGAGCTGAGCCCAGCATCAGGAGAGACGTGGAGTATCAGCCCAGTCATCAGGTTGGCAAGGGCCACCCTGGCGAGCAGGACCCACAGCAGTGCTGGGGATGCAGCTCTGCGCCATGAGGTCTGGGACATCCCTGGGATGGATGAGGCACCTCTGGGAAGCTGGAGGCCCTGCTCAGAGACCCTCCCATCAGCTCAGGAGAGCAATAGTTCATCTCTCCTCCAGATCCCTCCCGAAACAGGCCTGGTCGGCATCTCTGGGCTATTTGTGATATGACTGTGCTTCTTCATACCAGAAGGTGTTTCAAGGCCACAGTCATCATTAAGTCAGCCAGTTCAGCCTCTTACATACTGCAAGACCCAAAATTTCATCTGCTTCCCCTGTACTTGGCCCAGCAGTTGTTTCTGACTGCAGCAAGGGAGATGTTTCTGGCCCCTAGCAAGGGCTCCTGTCAGCTCCCACTGAACTCAGCGCTGGCAAACCCAGCACGGCCCTGAGCCAAGATCCACAGCCTTAATCCAGGGCCCTGCTTAGGGGTTTGAGCAAAGATTAGCTGGGAATGTTCCCAGTGATTATGGTTTAATCTCTTTGACATTTCACATCTTCTTAGACATAGTAGGTGAGACCCCCAGCAGTTATAAATCTCCTCAGTCCTCCAGGGAATTATGTCAAGTGCAGCTTCTGGGCCACTTGGAAACAAGCTTTACTCATTTCTTGGTGTCAGCACAATCTGCTTTTGCTAATAAATCTCCTGCTGCTAGAAAGGGAATGGCCATAAATAGACAAAAATGGCTGGACAACACCAGGTATCTGCTATAAAATTTGTTTTGTTCCACTTTGCATCTAGCTTGAAAGGAGCAGCCCACAGCAGCTGCAGCAAGGCAAACCTCATTCCATGTATAATGTCCATACACATCTCTCATTTCCTTTAGACAAGATTGGTTGGCACTCAGGAACTGTCTTATTTGAGAAATGCACTAGAAGAAGCTGTAGATCAACAAAAGATCTTTTGGCACAGAAATCTGTCTTGGCAGAGTAGTTCCAGCCCAAAATCATGGTGATCTATCCTGCTCATGTGCAATCCACAACCCCATCCTAATGTGTCACTTGGCAACCCTTAGACTCCACTGTCTATAGGATTAAAATAGCTTGAAATCAGGTGCTCTGCCACAACCTTCCCAGTGTGGCTGCATCACATCTCAATAGATCTGCATCAGGCAAACTCATCTATGGGCATTGCTGTTCAAGGAAAAACACTGAAAACCAGAACAGCCGGTAACCTGGGGACTGCTGGTCTGGAGGAGCCTTGGGTCAGTCTTGCCCTGCATCCTATCTCCAAGAGCAGACGGCTCCAGACACTCCAGAAGGACACGAGCAGCTTGAGAGCAACAGATACAGGCATTTCACCTCCCCCAAGATCTCATGCTGATCACCGCAGCTGAGAGAAGAACTAAAACCATGAAATATAACATCTGCCATCCCTTTCCAAATGACACAACTAATGAAGATGTCAGGGAGCAGCAAGGGTCAGCTGCTCCCTATGGGACTTCAGGGCCAGGTGGGAGGACACTAAGCTGGTCCTGAGCCGACCTGGCAGCCGACCCCCGCCCCCAGGGCTCTTACAGATGATAAATGAAAGCTGTGACAACTGGATTGCTGGCACTTTTAATACAGCATCATATTGAAGAAGGGAGCATGTGCACATCTGCACAGCACTTAAGCATGAGTTTAATGGGCTTTTCTGAACTGGATCGGTGCTTGACAGCAGAAGTTATATAAATTATATTGCACATACACAGATACACATGGAAAAGCAGGTATAAAAATACCTATACACAAACAAACCATCAGGTAAAACACACTCATTAGATGAGAGTTAAAATGCAAATGTAGGGCAATCCTAGAAACTTGGGATATGTTTGAATTACAGAGTATGTCTTTGCCCCACCTAGGTAGCTTTTAAGCCATTCGTGCTACTGTGTCTATTGCCATGGTTTTCCTTAGAGGTTTTTAAACCCACAGTTCGCAAATTACAGCAGATTCAGATCAACTACAGGGATTGCCTCCCACATCAGTAAATCTGCATCCTTCGGTTCACAGTCACGACAGGCACCAGCCATGGTTGGGAAAGCAGACTTTGGAGCAGCTGATTTCAGTCCGGGCTCTCACAGTTCTCTGTGCTGAACTTTCCTCTGTCCTGCTGAGATAGAACGAGACCTCCATAAGCTCCCTCCCCAGGTGGGTGATGCCAGGGAGCCTGGATGGGCCTGAACTGGAGCCGGTGCTATTGACATAGCATGGTCTCCTATATATGTTCAGTAGGAAATTTTCCCAGAGGAAGGCTGAACTTATCCTGAGTTATATCTGTGCTGTGCCCTAAGGACAGCCTCCAAGCTGCAGAGATGCAGCATGTAGGCAGGAAGCAAAGTCATGTTTGTTGTTCAGGCATGGACCATGCACCTGAACATGGAGACAGATCAAGGCAACATGTCCCACAGGGTTTCAAGCGTTTGTCATGGAAATAGGATCCAGCCTCACAGCCCTACCTCCTCTGCACGACAGAAACACAGTCCTTCCACCCCCCAGCACTGCCAAACACAGTGGGGCAAGATCCAGTGCTCATTAACCCCTGCAGTGTAGGCTGGCTTGAGTGACATCCACCTATGTCTGTGGATCATCTTTAAACTGCACCATTTGCCCTGACTTGCTGCTGGCAGCTCAGTCATCAATACATTGCTCCTCCATACCTGAAGAATTTGGCTGTAGGACAACGGTGCAAACGAATCTTCCAAATATCGCGTGCCAAAGCCCATGATCCTGTTTACTGCCTGGTTACAGATGCCTGCTACCTTGGCAGTGAGGTGCACAGCAAAGGCAAACTGGATTTCTTCAGGGTTAATGTTGGGCCTGCTGGCTGTCATTTCCTTGCTGACATAGGCATCAGCCAAGTTCTTGAAGGAGCTGTAGGACATTTCTTTGAAAAACATCCGTAGTCGTGCATCTTCCTTTACCTGTTTAAGCAGCAAATGAATACACACATTAAGAGTGAATAACTCAGGGTGTCATACTTGTGTTGCTGCTTCCACACCATGCTGAGATAGCATTTGAGGGAGAGCACACCGACAGACAGACAGACATGATCACACCCAATCAAGGAATTAAAAGATGCCATTTCCTTGATTTGATGGAACATTGTGGCTTGCTGCTGCACCATTGAAGTCAGTGATGTTGCACCATTTTACAGCTTGGCCCAAATTCCTTCTACCCATCCAGCCAATAAGAGGTTTCCTCTTACCTTCTTGTCCAGCTCATCTCCTGCACTCTGGAGGAGGGCAACGATTTTTCTGATGGCTTCCTCTGTGGAGAGAGAAGAATCATTTCCCACATTATTTCCAGCCTTTTCTGCAGGCCCCACACCAAGATGCTCTAAGGAGGTAATGTTGCCTGTTTAGCCTCCCCAGAAAATTCTCGAGGAGAAATGCATATGCCTCTAGCCTGGGAAAACACATTTAAGCCTATTGACAAATGCCTTGTTTCCTCAGCCAGGAAAAAGACCCTCCTATTTTTAAATTTCCCTCTCTCAAAATCAAGCCCTGATGCTGAAAATGGATCCAAAGGCCTCATACAGTTCTTAGGGTCACATAAACCCTTGGAACAGGCCTTAAGTGGGTTTGGGGTCTCGTACCAACGTGTTCTCAACACCTGCAGCAACGGTAGCCTGAGATGAAGCTCTGTCAAGGGCAACACTCACCAACTCCATCCGCGCTAGCCGGTCCCTGCAGCTCTTTGAAACTGCGCTCGCTGTTCCCCTGGCTTTCGCTGCCGTGGACTATCAGCCCTATCTCTTCAGAGACTTGTGCGTAGTAGCAGTCAGGCTGGTCTGTAACTGTTAGAAGAAGAACACACATTCAGAATCGAGAGTTTGGGGTGAGTCCCTCACTGATTAAAAGGGGAATGCAGGCATGACGACCGCTAACTAGTAAAATTCCTGTGTGTGTTCACTTCATGCTTGTGTTCACCCTGAATTAGTGCAGACTCCTAATGAACTATCAGACTGTGCTTCCTGAACTGTAACTGAGCTTCAGCGACTTGCTCTGAATTGACCAAACCTTCATAAAAACCACCTTGTCAGCTTCTCAGCATGGGAAGGGCTCAGATAGAGTAACCCATACAGTAACCTGCCGCACAAGTAACCTGCTGTGTCACAACACAACAGCTGTCCCCGCTCCCACCCTTAGCCAGCAGCAAATTTAATGCAATTATCTCAGACCTTTAATAGTTTAAGATTTAATCTCAGATCCCAAATGCAGGTTTAAACTAAACTGCAATGCCACAAGAGGAAAACCTGTGCATGGATAGCTACTGGGGAGCAGTGGACTTGCGGTAACTTGCTGCACTCCCAAGTTTGAATAATGAACTGTGCCTATGGACTTCACCTAGGACCATCTTTAAGCAAAATTGACTCTTTCCTGGAACAGCAAGTCAATTCAGGAGCCCCAAAAGCCTGTCTCAAAGCCCTGGAAAGCTAGGATGGTTGTTGGTGCGCTCCTAAGGGAAGGGAAGGATTAGGGTTAGGAACTCAGCATTGGACACTCTCTTGCTTTGCCAAAGACGATCCCACATTTAGCTCCCATCTGCATCGCCCATCCTCCTGAGAGGTGAGGACACAGGGGCCGGGTCCCACCTGGTGAGGCTGGTCTCTGGATGTGCCTCACCAGAAGGCGGTTGGGTCTCCTGGCTTTCGCTTCTGCTCCTGCCTCACCCCGTTCCTCCTCCATGGCAGCATGCTTCTTAAACGAGAAAACCCTCTTGAGGCTGGGTCTCTTTTTCAGAGGTTTACCCAGTGGCGGGCATGTGTTCATATCTCTTCCAGGTCTTTTAGCCGCTTCGGTTTTGGTGCTGTGAGGAGCTTTGATATCTTTTTCCTTTGCCTTTTGCCCTGCATTTTCCTTCTGGTCATCAGAATTCTTCTTGAAGAGGAAGTTTAAGAAACTTTTGAACCAGCCGTGTTGGGTTTTCCCCTGGGAGGAACTCTTGCTGCTTTTCCCCTTGTGCTCTGACTCCTCTTTCATGGAGTTCCCCAGAGCTGATGCTTTGCTCTTTTTATTTAGAGCTTCTTCCCAATCTGATGTTTTGGGTTCCTCCTCCTGGTCCTTCTTCAGGCTGATTTTGGAGCATGAATAATTGCAGAAGTCGCTTTCTGACCTTTGCAGTCCGGCTGCCTTCTTCCCTCGCCCTCCAGCTCTCTCCTGAAATCTTTTCTTAGCAGCCAGGGAGTTCTCGCAGCAGCTCAGCGAGCGCCTGACGTAGATTTCCAGCACTTTTTTCGCCCCTTGCCTGTCCAGTGAGAGTATCTTTCCTGCCGGGTTCCTCCCTGGGTCCCACAGCGTCATATCCACATCCATAGCCCGTACGTTGCTGCAGAGGAAAACAACATTTTCACTGTGGTTTTTGCTTTTCTCGCCACGCCATGCATCATGCAGGTTGGGCATGATGGAAATAACCTCCTGTTGGGCTCCCTCAAAGGGGAGCTCCTGGTTGTCCAAGACTGTTTTGGTCCTTGGTAAATGATCAACCCTTTTTACCATTGTTATCTAAGTCCTCCTTATCTAAACCACACTCGCAGGGTTTTATGATGCTATAAGCTGGGCTGTAGACACTACTGATACAGGAAGTGAAACTGCAGAGCAAGTGGACGAGCTGGTCACAGGTCTCGTAGGGAAACTGCTGAGCCCATCGGCCCCCCCGAGCTGCCTCCCAAAAGTGGGTCCCAGGGGACCAGCGCTGGCTAACATAGCATGACTATGTTTCATGCTGGCTCTGAGACCCAAACCAGACCTTTTCCACCACCAAACAATGTGCAAGGGGCAAACACCACAGTCCGAATGGCTGTGCTCTTGGCTGACAAACAAGCTGCACGGGAGCAAGGCATAAATCTCTGCAACCCAAGAGCAATGCCAGCCACTGCTAGGACAGCCCGGTTGTGCGCTGCACAATGCACGTGCACACCAACCCACTCCAATTCAGTCTTTCTCCGGCTCCAGAAGGCAAGTTGCACCCACCCAAGGCAACTCCAAAACTATCCAACAGTCCACGACAGTACCATTAACAAATCATTCAAATAGATTTAATCACAGCAAAGCAACAAACCCCTTCTGCTTTGATTGATTCCAGTACATCGAACATATATAATTTTTATTTGCTCTTTTTGTATTTACCTTTCCATTAGTAATTCTGCCTTTCTGGACATATGTCAAGACAAGCTCCTCGGCCACGAGTCCTGAGGGTTGTCAGGCTCTCTTGGGAGTTGCTGTTTTTATACCCCAGGCTGGTTGCTCGCTGAGCAAGTCCTATTTTTAGCAGCCATTCAGGTATGAGAGAGGGCAATGCTTCCGTGTGGTATCTCTGCTACCCTCTCCCTCGTGGCAGGAAGATACATCACCCATATCTGGAAGGCAAGCGCACGTGAGTTTCGCTGGAGAAGAAAACAATTTTCTGATGACAAATAGCAGCAAAACAGCATAAAACATCTATGTCACCTTGTATAATGGCTGCCCTTTGAAACCTGCTATCTAAGCCAGCTACTTTATTTTTCACAGGTGTGTTGCCATGTTTGGGCTTTTTCAGGTTATTTCTGCAAGAAAAGCAGAAAGAAGTCACATCTTCCTCCAAAAAATGAGCTTTAAATCCAGCAACCAGATCTCCCTGCTGAGATCCCCAGCAGCCCCCAAGAAACCAGATGCCTGAGGCTGCTGCACAGCCTGGAGCCACTCTAGGGCATGGTGCTAACAGGCTCTTTCCTAACATCAGAAATAGCCTGGCTGAGTTGGCCACTGCAGGGCCTTTGAAACCCACCCTTGGGTCCCTCAGACAGCCCATGTGCCTCCCTAAAATGTGAAACACAGCTACACACTGGAGCATGAGCATGGGACGGTGGGTTTGCTGGTTTTAAGCGCCTCACCAGCCACTAACAATGAGGACGGATAAATTTTTTTAAGATGGGTCCAATGAATCTGTGGTATTTCTGACACCAGACATTAATCTGGACCAGGGCCATCTTCCTGTTCTTCTAGGCCTGTTGCCACCCTCCTGCAGGCTGCCGTCTGCCATCCTCATTTCTATTTTGCCATCTGCTGGCAAAACTTTGCACTGCACCTTGCAAGGATAGTGATGGGATGAGGAGGTATTTCATGAGCTGCAATGGAGGCAACTCCCAGCAGGGCAGATTTGGAAAACCTCTTGGCAAGACTTCAGCATGAACAATGCTTCATTTTCTCTGGTTTTTCACTTAGGCTGATGCACTGACTGGCTCTATTCTGGATAAAAATGGTCTTTTCTAGATAATGGATTCAGCTTGCACTTGAATGAGTCCGGGTTTACTTTCTTTAGGTGTGTTTCTGTAGACCTTCTGGGCCATAATTTCCTATTACTTGGACAGTCCTGCAGGAGAGATTCAGTCTTCTTTTTTTTTCTTCTCCTTAGCTTATACTGATGAATCAGTGTCTGGTATTGATTAGGGACTGCCCAGCTCTATTTTTCAGTGTTCTCATCTATCGCTGATAAGTAATTAGTCCATCCATCAGGAGCTCCATGCTGCTAAGTAGCATATGACTGTATCCTTTCATAAGAAGGTTACTTCCAGAGAATGAGGAGTCTCACAACCAATTTTGTTTGGGTGCTCTCTTTTTCTGCAACAGCCATATAACGAAGAGGACTTTGAAAAGCTGGTTGGTTCAAAGCCACTCTGACCAAACTCTAGCAATGGGGCATAGTTTGGCCATCTCCACTTTGGAGATGTTGGTGTTGGACATCATCCAAGGCTGAGTCCAAACACCATCCCTGTTCATGGAAGACTTCCCATGATTAAACTGGGATTCGATGTTGACTTATGGCCTTGTCCAGGCCTTTCCTCTTTGTAAGAGCCTTTTTGGGTACAGCCTGAAGATAGGACACTCAAAGCATCTCCAGCACCTAGCAGGGGTCTGCAGCATAAACCTTGCCCTGCATCATGATTCTGGATCCAGTCTTTTATCCACATTCAGACCCCTTCCAGGATTTTGAACATGTTCAGACCCGATGGGTGAGAGGCATAGGAATAAAATGTTTGCAGAAGACCTGAACTAAACCTGAACTGAACATGTCCACACACAGCTAGAGTTAGGGAGAAAAATTTTAAGATCTGAATCCAAATCTGTCTGCTTTTCTCATCAACACTGGGAGAATGAGGAAGCTAGCAGGCAGAGAAGTCATGTGGAGGGAGTACACAAAGATGAGATCGACATCTTCAGTTTAGTGACGTTTGAGGGAAAAAGCAGAACTGAAAACGCAAGGATGCAGCATAGGGGGAAACTGGCTTTATTTACAGGAAGTTTGTTCCACAAGATGAAAAAACAAAGGAAAGGAATAGCCGTGCGTGAGCTGTGAGTTAACATGTGCTTATGAGCAGAACCCAGGAGTCAAAACCCCCAAATTTCTTGGAAGCAAGGTAGCCACAGAGCACAGCTTGGGAGGCTGAGGTTGGACATCAGGAAAAACTTCCTCTGCGAAAGGGTGGCGCAGCCCTCAAATGGGTCTCCGGAGAGTTGGGAGATCTCCGTCCTTGGAGGTTTTGAAGACAAAGCCATGACCAACCCAATCTGGTGTTCGTAGCAGTCTTGTTTTAGGTGGGAGGGTGGACTAGGGATGCTGAAGGTCCCTTCCAGCCAACACTCCTGTGATTCTGTGAATGGAAAACACCAAAGCACGAAAGGAGCCGCAATGTCAGATCTGAGCCAAGACGCAGGTGTTGAGGGGCAGCCACTTCTTCCCCCACAGGCCAAGCTTTGGATAGACAGCACAGCAACGCATGGGACCTGCAGGGTCCAGCAGCCTCAATAGACACCACTAAGCCTGCTTCTGCAGTACGTCTACTCTCAGAGGTTTGTGGGCACCAGCCTCCAAAGCAAATACTCTTTTCCTGCCACCCAAGGATTGATTTTAGCCCGCTTCCCTCAGGAGATGAGCCAAGCGAGACGGCAGCGTCTGTGGGGGTGTGTGAGTGTCTGTATTTGCTTTTGTGCAACACCCTGCCCTAAACAACGCTGTTCAAACCTGGTGTCAGATACATCTGAAGCAAGAACAAAGGCCTTCAAGGAATTAAGTGTCTGAATCTCTGAAAAAGCTCGTGTGGAGCACCTGCCAGGGTGTATCTGCGCCACTGCCCCTGGACTTCAGTCATAGCACAAGTCATTGAGTTGTGTGTGCTCTTCCTCGCTGCACGCCCACGCCAGTCAGCCCCAGTGCAAGTGGCAGTTACTTGCTGTTTACCAAAAGGGATGGGTCCTGGTTCCAGGAATACATGTTTACCACTCTCCTGCTTCCATTTACCAGCTCTGGTGGGTGGCAGCGAGAAGAGCTGCGGTCACATTGTCCTAGGGAGGATGTGAGTACTTTCTGGGAGCCAGGAAAGAACCCAGCGCAGTGTTGTGGTCTGCCATTGCAAAAGTGCACTTTGCTTCTTCGCCCCCAAGAAACTGCTGTCCTGGCTCCCTCCTAAGCCGTGGCTGCAGCGCAGCATAAGGAGGATTGAACGTGTTTGGCACCTTCCCAAACGGGAGAGGAAATCCCCACTGTATAAATGCAGCATGATCCTTAGTCATTGCTGGAAAACAGGTGAACTAACAGCATCCCACGTGGCATCAGCACATGCCACCCAAGAGCACTGGGATCACCGCTGGCCACTTTCTCCCAAGACACAAGCTCTGCCAGCCTGAGCAGTGGTTAGTTCTTGGGCTGCTCAGGAGTCATTGGGGCTGTTTCCACAGCAAGAAGGCAGATGGGATGTCTTGTTAGGAGAAAATCAAGTAAAATGCACCCACGGATGTATATCCCAAGAGCAACACAGGGTCAGGCTGGGACAACTTCCAAGAAGGAGGCTTTCTTTCCTTCCAAAGCTGGCCCTCATGGCTGGGCAGGCCTTTCGCTAGCTCTCCATTATGGAACTGGATTTCACCCCCAAAAGATCTCCTTTTAGTCTTTTCTGAGACAAAATGAACCCTCCATGGCAGGATCATGCAATCTAGAGTCCTTCCTGGTGTGATCTGCATCCCCAGGCTGGGCACCTGGCTCCACCTTGGCTGGGTGCTGGACGCCCACCACCCCTCTCTCATAGCAGAGATTTAATCCTCCTTCCCTTGCTAGCATCTCCCAAAGGCTGTGTCATTATGTTCATTTACCCCACCAGCACATCTGACTCCTTATTTTCACTTGACCTATCCAGCCCTTGCGTTTTGCCAGTGAGCTGGCGGTTTTCCGGAACTGAAACTTCCCAGCCAGTGTGTTTCTGGAGAAGATGTTGTGCACTGCAATGCACCAACACATGCTGGTGCTGTGAGTCAGAAGCCGGGAGCTGGAATAAGGACATTTCGCCAACCCACCAGTGCACTTCCCACCATGGGAAGCCCACCAAGCTCTTCAGGAGAGGTTGCTACCAACTGCAGCTGGAAGCCAGGCAAGGGGCAATTTTTGAGCATAAAAGGGGATTTTTAAATGGGAATGGGACTTATGCTCTCTTCCTTGGAAAAATTTGATTGATTTCAGACTCTACCCCAGTATAGTGTTCCTAACCTAAGAAATGTGATGGGGAATTATGCCAGCATACAGGAGAGGAGGAATCACCCTCTTTGGAGTAGTCATTTAATTGGTGTAAATCATTTTTGATAGCACACCACCAGTTTACAGTAAGGGGGGGGGGACGGGGTTTCAGGATAGCAACATCAGTCTTTGAGGGAAACTTCAGTCATCAAATCTTACCAAGGTTTCTTTTAAGCCTGATGGTTCCCTGGCCTGTTCACAGCATTGCTGCCCCAAAAGTGGAGCTGACGCAGCTCTGCCACTGCAGTCTGGGGCTGGGGGCAAATGCGCAGAGCAAGGATACAAACCAGCAGGATTAGTTCTGCGCTGGTGTGAAACCGAGGTCTGAAGAAACTCCCTGTTTCCCACCAGCCATGAAACATGATGCTGCTTTCACTACGTATAGCTGTGCTTTTCCACGTAGCTATAAAACGCCAAGTGTTTGTACTGCATTCACCCAATAGCTGCTGAGCAGCTTGGACTATCGTGCCCTGGTTTCCAGGCTGACAAGCTCAGGGACAGGAATCGGGTTGCTCATTAGGAACTGTTTATATGAGAGTTTATTTGCAGTGCTTGTTTTCTGGGTAAATGAGGAAGGCTTGGGTTTCTCAGTTTCAGATTTTCAACCAGCAGGAAGTGGGATTTTCAACTGTGTAGAGTCTCAGAATTCTATTTCCTCACCAAAAAGTAATCCAAAATCATTAATGGATATTTTCAGATTTAAAAACACATGCACATTGTTCTTTCCAGCACTTACTAACAATACCTGAGGTTACAAAGCCTGCCCAAATACTCTATGTAAACTTCGGCTCACTGGGAACTTTGCTTTGGGCGTTCAGAAGCCGAGGGCAAAGATTATATGTGCTCCATCCTCCCACGGGGTAAAACACAGCCCAGCTCCGTGGATTTCACAGGATTATCCTAAACTGCACCCCTGGAGGATGTGAGCCAATACCAGGCCCCTTTGTGGGGCATAAGAGTGCATGCCCTGTTTTGTACCCAAAGCAAAATCACTACATCTCTAACGATGAGTGTGATCATTTTCGTTACTGGCTTGTGCTTCTCGTCACATTATTTAGTCAGCTAATTACAAAAAGCATTATATGGAGGGAAAGGAGTTAAAATGAGACCCAGCTTAAAGGCTCCCTGCAGCCCGGAGCTGCGCATCTCCAACGGGGCCCGATCCGGGCAGGTATTTCAGCACATTCTCACCCTCAACCACGCAAGTAGCTCCACTGCAGCCCGTGAGATTATAACGTGCAGCGCATCTGCAGTGTAAGTCCGTTCCCCAGCCGGGGGCTAAGGCTCAGTTTCAGACCAGCATGCGAATGCTTAGGACCACCGCTCTCAGTGAAAGTGCTTCAGTAAATGTTCAACGCAAAGCGTGGGCTCCAGCGCTCTCCGCTCATCAGGCTCGGTTTTAAGAATGGAGCCATCTTTACCAGCAAGTTTGAACCTTACAGACAAGCATCGTAACATACAAAGCAAAAAATATCACGTTCCCTTACCGAGGAGGGAAAAGAAGCAAGCAAAAGACCAACCCACACATTCACCTGCATTTTCTGGGCTAGGAGATAGTTTCAATGTGTGAGTTTTGCTGACGAAGCCCCAAAGCTGTCACAGCCTTTGCTCAGGACAGGTTTTGAAATCCATCACCACCGCTCTGTGGCCTTCTGCTGGGAGAGCAGGAGAGCCCGGCACTTCACAGTGCAGTACAAATCTGTCTGCAGTACATTGCAAATGCCACCCTCAGAGATGTCCTACGGTGAGACCTCCAGTGTGCCTTCCTTGAAATCCTCATGTTCCTCGTTCTCCAGCTGCTCCAGTTTGCTGGGTTTCTCATGGATGATCTCCCCAGGAGTCTTCAGAAATCTGCAGGGCATTTTTGAACAGTTTTAACTACATGGGCAAACGCAGCCCCGCAACAGTTTGTAAATGCTCGAGCCACTGTGCTTGCCAGCGGAGCTCTGGAGCTCCCTGTGGAGGCTCTCTGCAGTCTCCAGGCCTGGCTGAGGATGTCAGTTCTTGCTTTGCACCCCGGATGCACTGAGCCCAGGGAGGTGAAGTGCATCGCACCTCAACCCCGAGCCCAGCGCTGGCATTTTAAATTTAAGCTACTCCCAGGCAAGCATCCAGCCCTGAAAACAGTGTGAAATTCAATGACAAATTAAATTCCCTGCCTGGCTCCACAAAGGCTGGTTGTCGTCGGCAGACAGAGTTCAGCCTGGGATGGACTACCAGCCAGCTGCATAGGGGAGCGGATCCGGCAGGAGCACGACGCCCAGGCATCCCACGCGCCGGGTTTGCACAGAGCAGAGCCCAGATACAAACCTGCTGGAGTGTTGCGTTTGCCGGGGGTGGGGAAAAAAGAAGCAAACACAGAAGCAACCACTGAGGTTTTGCAAAACCAAAACCAAGCCAGGCTCTTTACCTCAACCTGAGGGCTGACTTCAGCGCTCAGATACACGCCCACAGTGGCTGCGGGATTCCTGTGTGCATGGCAGCAGACAGCCGGGTGGGACCAGGCTCCTCACAGCACCATCAGACCAAGACAGGCCACGTTTCCGTGCATTTACCCCAAATATACAGCAAGGACACTATGACTTCAGCTCAGGTCTGGACCATCAAGGATCCAGCGAGATGAAGCAGCTGCCAACCTCTGGAGTCCACCAGTCGCCTTCCCAGCTGCATTGTGCTGGGCAGCTTCTTTCAGTGACCTGCTTCATCTTACCTAAACAACAGCTTCTGCCCTGGCTCTTTTTTGATGATGTTGAGTTTGTAGTAATGTCTGAGCGCTCGTGACATCTTTTCATATGTCATGTTTATCCGGTTCTGGAAGGAGACAAGAATTAGGGATTTTTTGAGTAAACCGAGAACACCTGGTTTGGATCTGTGTGCAGCAATCAGGCCTGCTAGGCCATGTGCAGGATGCTCTAGGTAGTTTCGCAGGCTTTGCAGGTGGCGTCATGGGTCTCCATAACCTGGGCTTCCCTCTGGGCCCTTGGCAGCGAGCCTCAGCCGTTACAGCCTGCCTCCCTGCCGCGGGACGAGGGGCTGGGGGCCGGCGGCTCCCATCAGGCATGCACCTCCTTTTTAAATCAACAGGAGGTTGGCGTCTCTTTGTAGACCTGGGCCTGCTCTGCTCTCACCCTCCCCTGTCCTTGTGCCAAACGGATCCAGGGAGCATGTGGTGAAGGGACAGAGCTAAGGTGACATTTGAAAGCCCAGGAGTGACAAACTTGGCCTCAATTGAATTTACCTTGTGGTTCCCCCAGAGCTGGGCAAGTCCATTAGGATTAACGACCCGGAAGACCTTGGCTTCCTTGTCTTCCCACTTGATGTAAGGCTCATAGCGGCTGTCAGAGAGGAGCTGGTACACGTAATCCCACAGTAACCTGCAGTCTGAGCGTTGGCACAGAAGAAACAGTCACAGAGCTCCCACTAAGGCATGTACTCTCTGGTGAGGGTCGGTCAGCGACAGGACTTCTCATCATAGCAATAAAAAGAGCCCAGAGCTCACATGCAGCACATTCATTGCTAGATCTGAAAACGCAGGGGAGAACTAGCATTGTTCAGGTGGGGAAACTGAGGCAGAGATGCCCTCACTGAAGCATGGAATAGATGGGAGGGGGATAGGCTGACAGGAGGACAAAGGCAATGCAACCTCATTTCCCCTGGGAACCAGGCTAAAAATTCGTATTCACCTGCAATCTTCCCATCCGCTGGGGCTGACGGGGGTTTAGGAAAAGAGCAGAGGGCATCTGCCCTGCAGCTGCCTTCTGAGCTGGGATAAGAGAGGTTCAGTGGCTCCTCGTGGCTGCAGGTCCAGCCAGGGGACAGAGGTTTGGCACGGCCCGAGCAGCTGGGCAGCGGGGAAGAAACAGCGGCTGGGACAGCCTCTGTGCTGCAGTCCACCCCTGCAAGAAAACCCCACATGGTGCATTACAGTAGGACCCAGAAGACCTTCGAAGCCATGAAACATGCAGAGGAGCAGAGCCTGGGGCTGGTTTGTTGTGGAAAGTCTGCGTCTGTCATCACTGCGGACCCCAGTCTCACAACAACTGACTGACACGGCGGTCGGTGGAGACAGACGAAGAGGAAAGCCCTGGGATTCTCCTGAGGGAAAAGGGGTGCTGGAAGCAGAAGCAGCAGAAGATCCAAGGTGGGTTAGAGGCACTGCCAGCCATGGGGAGGGCAGGAGGGAGAGTCGTTAGAGGAGAAGAAAGCTGGAACGGGAGAATATCGGAGCACACGCATGTGATCCTCCCCTTGGAAAATGCTGCAGCACTTTAAGAAATTTGTCACCCTATATCCACTTGTTAATGCCAGAGCCAGCAGAGAGGCTCATGAGAGCGCTCCTGAATCTGCCTCAGTGCAAAGTCAGCCAGGTCACGTGAAACCATCCTCACTGGTTGTGCAAACCAACCCTGGCAGAGCTGCGGGGAGAGCATCCCCCAGGTACTGGGCAGCAGTGGGCAGCTGGGGCTGGTGATGGTGGGGCTTCAGCCACTCCAGGTGGGCCCAGAAAATAGGCTGTCTGCACCCTCTGATCAGGATAGGAGCCATAGGATCAAAGCCCTTAAAGCTGGCTTTTCAGAAACAAGGCACCCAAAATGAGCGGCTGTCTTTAAAAATACAGCCCTCACTGCAGGGAGGGGAACAGCATCTGGAAAGGAAGACCGCTCTGCTCTAGCCCCTAGGTCCTGCCACCCCACTAGTGCTCATTTCTCTGCCCAAACCTAACATCTCACTCCTCCTCTTTCTCTGTCTCCCAGCTCTGCAGGGATGACTAAGCCAAGCGGAGTATTCAAACCCAACTACTCATGCCCACAGCATCAGAGATTCCCAGGCCACCTCTCTCAGACGGGTGAGCTTCAAACCTCCGACCTGTGCAACCTACTGTGGCCGAGGGCAGGCTCCACCTGATAGACAGCTGCCATTCTCCATCATACCTTCCACCGCGCTCTTGACTTCCCTGAATGGTGAGTTCAGTAAAGGGCTGCACACCAGAGCTCTTCTTTGAGTTTTGATATACTGGAGTAATTCATATAAGACATCACCTATGGGGGAAGGAAAGCATTTGAGTCTGTTCAGGTGACTATGTCATATTATAATAGAGTATTGCTCAAATACAACATCCAAATAACAGAAGCTGCAAAAAGTGGTAACAGGTTTTATTATTGCACTGGCAATTCAAGCCATGCAGTCCCTGTTCTCTCCATCACCATCTGCTTCTTTCTTGACAACCCTCTTTCACCATCGCATCTTGTCCCCCAGGGAAGTCAGACCTCTCATAAGCACATAGTAAAGGATCACTTTGTTTGCTGAGGGGACTGGAACTATGTAGAACATTTCTTTAATGATATGAGGCAGTACCACACCTGACTTTTGGATAGGAAATGCAGAGGTTTATTAACTGAAACTACTGCAGGGACAACATGCTCCATGTGTAAGAAAACGCATGGCAGAATCCAGACTAAGGTTTTGAGTGCATAACTAAGGGTGCTGCCATGGGGAAGGACGACCATGTGGACTGCTCATCTGGCCATGCATGACAGTCTTTTTAATCCCACCCTGTTGAAACCATGCAAGAAAGAGCCACAAAAGGCAATGGCCAAAAGCCACTATGATTTGCTGTTCCCCGCAGCTGGATTTTGATACTGTTACCTATATTTCTGCACCACTTACAGAGTAAGAGGTTATCCCCATCCCAAATCATTTGTAGTCTAGATGGTCTAATGTAAGAAGAGAGTTGTCCCAGCCTCTGTCATCCAGCTGGCTAGGCAGGGTTCAATCTATGTCTGCCAGGACCTATCCAGCCCCTCTCAGCAGCCTGCTGTGCTCAGTCTGTCCTTAGAAACACCATTCTCCCTCATCTAACCTGAGTTAGGAGCTCTGTATCTGAAGTCATCCTTGGTGAGAATGCACAAGGCTTTCCCGTTCATTTCAAACTTGCTTTCATCCGTTTGCCGAAGGGAATATTCTTTCTCGGCCCATCTCAACCAATGGATTACATCCTCCTTGCTCCACAGTGAGGGCTGGATTCCTGAAACCACAGGCAACCTCTGAAACAACTTGGTCTCCATCTTCAAAACCAGTGAGGGGCTGGACAGGAGACTAGGCTTCTCCATCAGCAAACTTCCCCTCTAACTTAAACCTTCACAGATCAAATTACCCCAGAGAAAGAAAACAAGCCATGATGCTGACCCATCTTGTCCTCTAATCCAGACAGCCACCAATAGTCGCAAGGTGGAAGACCACTGCTGCACCCACCACGTCCCACCCGGCGGGGACCCCTTTCGTACGCTTGATGCCTACTCACTCAGCCTGCCTGGTAGCTTGAAGATTTCCCCCTCGATGATGGGTGTGCCTCTGGCCTGGGGTTGGGGTGGCATTGAAGCTGCAACAACTGGGCTGGAAGGACCAACAGTCACTTTACCCTGAGGAAAAGAAATCAAACACATCAACGAGGGTGGAAGGGGGGAATTCCCTCCTGCCATCTTGCCTTCACTTTGCTTTGAAGACAGCTCCACCACAGTAAACACTGCTCGAATAGTTTCTAGCTAGTTTCTCAGAGCAGCATGATGCACTTTAAAGTAGCTCAAGCCTGGCTGGTCACTGAAAGGAGGCCACAGGGAAAAACCCATGTCTGGAGGTAAAGCTGATGATTCAGTCTGCAGGGAGGAGTGGGTACCCTTTGCGCTGAATCAGTGCCACGCCAGCTACCTAACATGGCAATAGAGACAGCGATGGGTTCCTGGAAGCACCATCTTAACTTCCTGAATGAAGTGGAAATGATAACCGTGGGGTGTAGGGTAAGTTCCCCTCTCTTTTCTGCAGGTCAGTAGGAAGCAAGGTTTTATCTGCAATGTAGTGCCAAATAAGCTACCCTTTTTCTTCCTGAAATTTCTAGCAGAACCTGAGAATCTTCTGTATTTCCAACCCTTGATTCATTTCTAGTTTTAGAGAGGGCTGAGCTGCACTTTTTTTGGTCACATGCTTTAGAATAAAGGATACTGCCTACCTATGCTTAGATTTAGGAAATCTGGGCTGGTTTTGCAGTCCCCAGCCCATCATATATGAGCAAGACAAAGTCTGCACGACTCTTCAGCATGGATTCCAGGTCCTTTACCAGGGCCAGGGTGAATTTCTGGTTGCCCTCAGACAATGCTAGTAGCCAGAGATTCCCCTCCCTCTTTCTCAAATTCTTTTTTTCAACATTAGCACAGGTATCTGCCATCATTAAAGGCTCATGTAGGCTCCAAAAGTGAGTTGTTATTAGGCATCCCCAATGCCCCATGGCTGCAAGGAATTGGAAGATGAAGCCCAGACCAGCATAGCCTTCAGCGCCCCTCTGAGGTCCAGGCATCCTGCAAGATCCCCGGCAGCTTGTTTGGAGGTCTGGGGTTTTAGGACAAGACTTAAATGCTTCAGAGAGTTATGAAGATGAATAAAGCTGATGATAATGGTGCTTAGATTTTGTCTTGATCATGCCACATGAATAGAAATATCCCTCTTTGTAACTCCTTGGCGATCACCTGGACATAAGTGGGAACAGCAATCCCTTGCATTACTGAGATGTCCCCTCATCTTGCCCTCCTGCAATTAAGTCCCAACCTCTTGTTCAAAAGAATTACTCCTCCCTGTTGCTTGTTCATTAATGAGCTCCTCCAGGCTCAACAAAAGCCAAGATGCTCACAGAGCTCGTAGAGGTGGTCCCTGCTCAGGACTAAAAAGAAAGTCCTGGTGCTTCCTGGTGGCACCAGCGCCTCTGTCTCCTGGGCTAGGAGGCAGCATCGCACCGCAGGCTGCCTCTGGGCTTTTATCCAGAGCCCATGAGCAAGAAGTGAGCTCAGATCTGTTTTCAGTCCCATCTATATCTTGAAATATTAGTGACAGCCAAGCAGATATGTTTCCTCTTAGAAGTCTACTAATGTGAATCTCAGCAATTGCTCAGCTGATCTGAGCAGCTTCATTCTCTGAAGATCGACAGCTTTGCTTGTAACCAGTATTTGCTGAAGCTGTTGCTGGTTCTGGGCACTTGAATACACCTTCAGAGAGATTTTCCAGGGTGGTTAAGCCAGCCAGTGCTCCTCAAGTTTATGGGGGGTTGTAGGAGCTCAGCCTCTCTGAAAATCAGGGGTGAAGAAAATCGAGGTGCTAGTGACAGAGTAGACTGTGGTGGTTGGACACGCATCTTGAATGCAAAGCTGGTGCCCCCAAAGCTGGGGAGCATCCCACAGGGAACAAGTGTCTGAGGAGCAGATCGCTCCACCTCTCCCAGGGAAAATGTTCCACTTTGGTCTGGGGGAATTTTACCTGGAGAAAGAGAGCAATTTGGCTAGGATGCCAGGAATGGCTGGAGATTACCAAAGTACTTTATGGTGATGATGCATCTTTATTGTCACGTATTAAGTATGTCAAAACAAGAGAGAAACCTTAAAAGAACTATCTTTATAGCTCCAACTCTTTATGATAAAGATAAGGAGCTGAATCATTCCAAAAGTAAATCTCAAGGTGCTGGGTTTTTCTTTATCAGAAGAACCAGTACTAACAATTTTTCTGGCAGTGGTATAATCATTGCTAGCTGTTACAGGATCTGGGTGGTTAGTTTTAACAAAGTAAGCAGCTGCTTAACAACATATGAGGAAACCTGAGAAGATCCCGTATGAACTCTGAGCAGACTTTCTAGCAATGCAAACCATATTTCAGATTCATTCTAAGCAATAGGCTACCGGAAAATATAAAAGTGAAAGAAATTAGCATTGTATTTTGTCTATGACTTCTCTGTAAAGGCATTTTATGTTTTTCCCCTGTCTTCATGGCTCTGTTACAACTAGATTTACCCTAAAAATGATCCACAATGTTTGATATCTTTCGTGCTCCTAAAGATTTCTAGGGACTCAGAGAAGTATTCTTAACTCTTATGACTTTGCACCAATTTTGTTTTGTTGGTTTATTTTTTCCTGCTTAGCCACTTCCATGCATCCTGGGACACAGTACTTCCTTGTTTCAAGAGGAAATATTGTCCTTGGCTGGTTTAGAGTGGGAAGCTAGGGGGAAAAAAATGGTAAAAAGAAATCCTGGATGTGTAAGAGCACCGTACGGGTCGGTCCTAAATGGGGGGGCACCTCAGGCGCTTGATCTGCTTTTTGAGGCAATCCGGGCTTGGATGCGGAGCCAGCGGCTCTTACCTGCATCCCCGGTGGCGCTGGGTCGCCGCTCTCTGCAGCCCGGCTCGGCGCTGCCCCGGCCCCGCTGCTC